CCAAATTTATTGTAAGTTCACGTTCAGGTACTATCCATCAACAATCCTACTTTCATTGATTATCTGCCGAGGATATACCCACCTGAACTATAAATAAAAGAAACAGAATCAAATACTTCTGCATCATTTGTCTAGAATTTGATTCTAAAGGTCACATCTTTAAAACAGGCTATAAGACAAAAGAGATGATTTCGATTTCGCCATCATTAATTTCCCACGCATTACCAGTAACATTCCACATGCTCCAGCCTATGGTGTATACATTTCAACTCTTGTTCGCTATGATAGGGCGTGTAACACATATACTGAACTTATAACGCGCCATAGATTTTTCTATTTCAAGATATTAGGCCAGGGCTTCTCTGGAGAGCATCTTGCCAGGACATTTAACACATTTTTGGCAGGACCTTGTGTGAAAATATAATCGTACTGTTAAACAGATGGTCTCTGATGTCATTTGTCCTATGTACCTGAATACAACTTAGATTGATATATGGAGAGTGTCGCATGTGGAGCAGGTTGTGCTCACTCTTTTCGAAACACATGACATCACTTCATGTGTGTGTGCCTTGGGATCCACATGTCATTCTTTCACTGTTTGTGTCTCTCGTATAGCGTGTTTTGTCCATGGACTTGTACTTTCCCCCGTTAGACTTATGATTTAGATATTGGATTTGTATGATTTCTATTTCTATTTCAATACAGATAATGGTGTACAGACGATGTTAGCACATTAAAACTCAAGATTGATACTTTTTTACCAACGTTTCCAGTTCAAAGATGTAAGGATCATCTGCAGAAGGAACTTCTCGTAAGAAATCTCCCAATTTGAAAAGGTAGTCATCATTGCGCAGTCCCGTCGGTCCGATTGCAGTTGCTATAAGTTTGGCGGTAGTTTCCGTATCCTCTGGTCCGATATAAGACGAATGTATGTGTCTGTTGGCTTCGTTTATAACAATGTATGATAACACATCAATAGGCGTGCTGTTTTCTGTGTGGGGGTAGAATGTCAAAGGGAATGGCGGCCGCTGTTCTCGTGACTGGAGCTTTTCAAAAACTTTGTCTTTATTCTCATCTTTTATTTCGTACGCCACACCCCATGTAATGCCCTGCAAGGAAACAGAAAGTAGTGTCAGGTAAACCTTGCCGAACAACGTTAACACTAAGCCGTCCCTTTTGCGAAGATATTGACAAACAACAAATGAACCAAGTGAAGTTAAAATAAATCTAATGGTAAGAAACCCATTGACTGGTCATGAGGGTAACTTCGTACCATGAGACACGGAACTCCCAATACATTAAGCAGTGCAGTGTTTGAAATTACTGCACACCCATACGCCCAGCATGGGTAATTATTCGGTTGGGTTGGTGAAAATTTCAAGTTACTAGCTCTGTGGTCGGGTAGATGTTTTTAAAAAAATAAGGTAAAATATTACTCATCCCAAATGTCTACGGATGTATGATTGTTGTCAAAATTATGTACCTAGAGGACTGATGTGTCCGATTTGACACGTGCAACATGTAACATGAGTATGAATAACAACAATCCATAAACGATGCGTGATCTGGCGAACTTTCACACTATGCATGATTTGTAATCCTATACTATGCGTGATTTCAATGAACTCTCACAATATGCGAGAGTTCCAGTTGATTATGAATCAGATTTTTCTTACTTGAATGAAAGTCATTGAAGTGAAACTGATTGAGTGAAATATAGTGAAACTATTAAAAGTAAATATGATATTAAAAACATAAACAGGGCTGGTAAATTTTGAGTAGGGCAGGCAAGTTTTCAAAGTTACCTGTCCTGTTGTCTGGTAAACTCGACATTTATATTGTTTTTTCAGTAGTCCATAAATTGGTGTTCAAATGTTCATTAATTCTTTGCTAAAATACACGACTTTATACGAGAAATATCGTTGCAGTATTACCTGTGGGTCTTCAATTAGAACTGCTGCTCTGCCAGGCTGAAAATAACAATTAAACAACAACGTTAGCATGTGAAACATAAACGCCACACATGAAAGCACACCCTCTGTCGATTTATCGTGTCATCTATATTGTAATTGTACCAAAACTATTGAAAAGACAATCTGTGCCTTATAAAGTTCATTTGAGTTTCTGAGGTGGCCATATGTATGAAATATAGACGTCATATGTATACTCTCTTTGCATATGACGTACATCAAATCAGGAGTAATGATTGGAAGTTGGATACACGTCATCAGGCAAGAAAGATGCATCTATATTGATATTGTTTCTCACATCTAAGTTTTCCATTTACATATCCTAGTCTGAGTATGTAGAGCTTGATATGAGATGGGCGAAATTCAAGAAAATATCACATTATGATTATGGTGGTATGAAATTGTGATTTTTCGAAATACATAATATAATATTTGAAAGCGTTGTTGTTTCAATTGTCTACATATGTGACAAACAAGTGTTTTTTATCAAAGTCATTTAACTTTTTTTTTTGTTTTTTGCAAAGTTCATATCTCATTATACGGAATTAATTGTTTCTTATCATATACCTCGTATTGCCCGGCCTCGTAACGTTATGGGAATCCCGAGGCGCGAGCCGTGCAATAATTGTCCATATCACGCCCGGGCCTCGTTTACCATATATGGTAAACGCGCCTATTTCCTGGAACTACTTTCTGTTTACAAACAAAGCGGGTAATTCGAGTCTGCGCTCCGATAATGGCTGACGATATTATTCAGTGGATGGGAAAAATACCGAAAGACCAGTTGGGCTCATTGTTACCCTGACGAAAGCCGGCATTCCACCACAACCAATCATAAAGATAACTGGTCACAAAAACGTGTCAAGTTTACAGCACTACGATACTCAGTCAGCCGATGCCAGCTGACTGTGACGATACTGTCTTCACGGAAGATAATCGGCGCATTTCAGATATTCTTAATTGAGCTACGCCAGAATCTGAAACTGTAAACCAAATTGCTTCTTGTCAAGCAATTGTTTCTCGTTCACCGACTACAGTTTGTCTATGAAATCAACGTGTCCCTACCTGCGGCTACAACAACAGCTCTAAGAAAACGCCCGTTGTCGGACGGTCAGTAAATGACTAACTTAGCTGTAGTGTTCAAAGAAAGTTTATAATGAGTTCGTATTTATTACCGTTAAAATATTGTTATAAATTTACGTTCATTTGCTGTTTCATTAAAACGTAATTTGTGGATATATTTGGTGACATTTGTTTGTGTATTGTGTGAGAGTTATTGACGCGTTTGCGTCGTTTAGAATCCTCCGTATAAATCCGTGCCGGTAAAAAGGCCTGTATCGAATTGCTTTTCTTTTGGGCCAGACGAGCGAAAAATAACATAACTAAAGACACTTTTTTT